AAATCGGTCAAATAGAACCCATGCATTGTTATTGAGTGAATTAGTTTCCGCTTCTTGCAACATCTCATTTTTGTGGGCATTTGAATTATCTTTGCTATTATTATTGCTATTTTCATTCATATTTTTTTATTATTCAACTCCGTAATTATTTAAACTTTTTATATTTTCTTTTTAATAAAATGAAAAAAAATGGCATATTTGTTTTCTGGTTGCACCATATTTGATTTATTCCAAATTGAATCTATTACTATTAATTTGAACAAATTCAATTGTTTTATTTTCATTCAATTAACGTTCCTCAAGTTAATTAAGATATTAATTTAAACAAATTCAATTTATTTTGACGCATAACACGGCTGATTTGCATTGCCTTTGAGCTTAAACGCAAAAGATTTTATTGATAAATTTAATTTAAATATCATTAACTAAAAACAAAGAAATTCTCCCTTACCGAAAAGAAACGTAAAAAAAAATTAAACCAAGGTTAAACATCAAATGTCAGATACCAAAGACTTGCGGGTCACGGTTGCCATCGGTAAATGTGATGTTTTCTTTTGTTTTGTGATTTTATGTTTCTATAAAACTAAAATTTTGATTCTTTTTTTTTTAATTGTAAAAGACTTTGGGACGACATTTTCTGGTAAGATATGATGCTTTTATTCAATTTGAAATTAGTTTTTATCGAATAATATTTGACTAACTTTTGTATTTTTATTAACTAAGGATTTGCTTATGCTGTAAGTGAAATGATATGTTATTTCTTTTACGAAAAATCGAATAAAAGAATTCTATACTGTTAATAATCTATTTTAGAATAATATTAATCCAGACATAACCGTTCATGATTCTTGGTAATTATAAATATTTGTTTTCCTTTATGTTTTTTTCAGTAATTCACGTTAATAACTTCTGGCAACTTATTTAAGGTTTGGATTAAACAATTCAAGAAAAATAATTCCAAAGACAAATACTGTTATCCAATACGGTAGTGGTTGGAAATTAGTAAATTGGGGCTTTCCAGCATTGGCACAAGATCCTGGATCGAGAAGAAAAAAGAAACACGTTAACACCGACTGTAAAACTGTAGAATTGTTTAAATTACATTTAGCCGACATTCCCGATTATCAAAAACCAGGACTACCTTATGGATTAGATTACCGTAAAGCTATTAGAGATTTTCTGGCTGAAATGAAACCGGTCAGAATTTTTAAAATTAGGAAATTTATCACGTGGTTTATTAATTAATAAAACCAAATTTTTTAGTTAATTCAAGAGACACTCAATAGGCGTTGGCCACCTGCTATCAAGCTTTCACAAGTTCGTTTCGTATTCTCCGTGCCCGCTGAATGGTAACTCTATTCCTTTCAGTTATTCATGCATGAAGTCATAAGATTTTAAATAATGTAATTTTTGTATAATAGGAAACCTCATATAATTGGAATTCTACAGGATTGTATTTACGATGCTGGTTACCTCGAGAAAAGGCATTCGAATCATAATTTAGAATTTACGACGGAACGTAAGTTTAATTTTCTTTAAAAGTTTTTGTAATCTCTCATGTCGCAATGTCATTATAATTATAAATTTACATTAGCGGAGGCAGCTGCATTATATTGTATGAAAAAATCAGGAGAATATAAACTGGATGTTGGAGGTTTGTACCAAATATTGAGATTATATGATATACGCAATTAATAATATAAATTTGTAATTATAGACACATTTTTAATTGTCGATTGTGGAGGAGGTACTGTAGATCTAACAATGCGGACTCTTGTCGAGGGTGATTGTATTAGTGAGGACACTGAACGTACGGGTGACCTATGTGGAAGCACATATGTTGACAAAAATTTTAGAGCTTTTTTAGAAAAGAAACTTGGAAAAAGTGCTCTAATGAACCTTCAGAATAAACACTATGAACAATATCAATACATGATTCATGAATTCTTTTGCCCATATATCAAATTTTTATTCAATGGTGATCAAGCAGAATTCAAAATCATTGAATTGGACATCGAAAAGTGGTGTCCAGCACTTATTGATTATGTCAGCCAAGAAATCAAAGAAGAGATGGAGGAAGAAGATTGGCTTATTGAAATTTTATTTCAAGATGTTTTTGAAATGTTTCATCCAGTGGTAGAAAATATTCTTACACTGATAAATAACCAGCTAAATTCTTCAAGAAAAAAATGCTCTGCAATGTTTATGGTTGGTGGGTTCGCCGAATCACCATATTTGATAAAAATGATCGAAGAAAGATTTTCCGGTAGAGTTCCTCTAATTGCAGTTCCGCAAAATCCGATCACGGCCATTCTCCGAGGTGCCGTAATGTATGGGTTAAATAAAAAGGCTGTAAAGCATCGAAAATTAACTATGAACTATGGTAAATAAGTTTCTTACATCCTAAATAATTAGTTGATAAATATTAATTATGTTTTTCGTATTAAAATAGGTGTGGAAGTATTTCCAAAATGGATACAAGATGTCGATCCTAAAGCTCGAAAAACCGAAAATGGCCGAATTGCAAAGTTCAGCTGTCTTGCAAAACGAGGAAGAATTGTCACACCCGATGAAGTATGTTCAGATGTCTACTATCCGGTTTACCCTGATCAAACTGCTATCTTATTCAAAGTATTTGCCACATCTAAACCTAATCAAAGATTCTGCGATAAATCTGATAAAACTGGAATGGAAGAAGTTGGAAAATTAAGAATTAAACTTCCAGACATACATCTGGGTATTGATAGACCTGTTGAGTTTGGTCTGAAATTTGGGGAATTATTAATAACTGCTACTGCACGGAATAAGACAAATGGAGAATCTTATTCTGCTGAGTTTAATTATGTCTCAGCTTTTGAAGCTGCAACCAGCTGCAACTAAAAATTTATGATATGTTTATTATTATATGTTAATTAATATTTCTAATGATTTTTCTAAATAAATGCATATAACCATAAATTTAAATTTATCTTTATTCAAATCATATTTATGTTGTCAATGGAACTTATTTATTAATTACAATATATTTTGGTTTTTCATAAACAATTAAATATTACGGCAGACATGCTTCTTGATATACTACCAATTCACCATAATTTAACTTTCCATCTTTACTAGGTTCTCCAACAACACTATCATAATTTTGTGGAGGACCTTTCATACTCATATTTTCCTCCAACATTTCATATGCTCTACTTTAATCAAAAACATCACTTTAAAAACTTTGTCATTTTCATTGCAGAGTCTTTACGATAATAATCTACTAAAATAATCGGATTTTGGTGAGTGCCTGAGAAAAATTAGTTGTCTAAGTAATTCATTTTTCAAGTTATAAATTCTTCAATTTAGTATTCTCTCTCAACAATTTATTGCCTCATCTGCCTCATAACTCGCTTTCCATTTATTATGCTCTGCCTGCCAATAATTAATATCATCCTTGCATTTCTTTTTCAAATGAATAATCATTTTATAATAGTATGGATTTTTTGTATATCTTTCCGCCTCAGATCTTATTCTTCAGCTTGAATACTCTGATGCACCATATGTCAAAAAACTGACCTTTGGTCGCTAGACAATCTTTTTCATCATTTTCACGCGAAGAATACTAAAATTTCATGGATTTTGTAAAATTCAATATATCAATGCAAATACTTAAGGATATTCGATTCAATTTTGATATTTGCTATTAATTGGTTCCAATCCACTTTGGTAAAAACTCTTCCCGCGATATCTTACTCTAAATCGGTCAAATAGAAGTCATGCAGTGTTATTGAATGAATTTGTTTCAACATCACATTTTCTGAGCATTTAAAAGATGTTTCTATATATAACGAATTGATTGGTGAATAGTGATTTGGCTCCGTTCGATTTTCCCCTTTTATTTTTTTCTCATCAATTTATTTTTTTATGACTGTATGAATGTTTTATAAAGGACAATTGTCCAATCAAAACCACAAAAAAAAAACCGTAAGACCAAAAAAATTAAAACGTTAGACTGGCCAGAAAATTCTCCCGACCTTAACAACCATAGAAAATATCTGAAAATTGTTAAAGGATAATATCTAGAAAAAAAAAAAGCTCAAGACTGAGGAGTGGTCAAAATTTGATGATCAATTCTTAGGAAGGTTGGATTCAAATGCTACAAAGAATTGAAACAGTATTGGATGCCAACTAAGTATTAGTTAATTATAAATAAAAACTTTATGTACAGTCACGTCGGAAAGTGACGCCCGATTTTGCATAGTGTAACAATACATCTAGTTTACATCCCTTTTTTTTATTATTTTAAATGTTTTTCACATATTATGACTTTATGAATTAGTTTTATGGTTAAAAAAATAGCATCACATCGCACAGAGATGTCTCCTCAAGATAAAAGAAAATACTGGCATATATGGAAAATTACAATGCTACACAAATAGTAAAAAAAATGGAACGTGACCCTACCACTATACAAATATTTATTGACAGATACAAGGAAACAGGAAATACTGAAAATTTACCATGATTGGGATGGCCACCTGCTCTCAATAATAATGAAAAAGATAAACTCATAAATGAAACTATGAAGAACCGATGTGTACCTTTGCATGAAATTATTAATACACTGAGTTTGAACTATAATTTAGCAACTGCTAAATAGACACTATATGATGCTGAGATTCACTCCCATGTTGTTGCAAAAAAGTCTTTTATGTCAGAAAGGCATGTATCTTCTCATATTAGTTGGTGCAAAAAACATAAAAATAAAATAACTTATAATTGGATGCAAGTTATTTTCTCAGATAAATCAAGTATTGAGATTAAAAAGTAGTCACAGCAAATAAGAGTTTGGAGAGGTTTAGGAAAAAGGTTTAATACTGAATGCTTGACACCTACTTTTAAAAGTGACCAAAAATCAGTTATGGTTTGGGGATGGAGATATTTCATGGGAGGAATAAAAGGTCCATTAATTTTTTGTGATGAAGACAAAGAAAGAAATGAAAGAATAAATTCAAATACTTATATCACTATCTTAAATTCATATTTAATTCTATTTAAATATAAAATTTATAGAAAAACAGGAAGGGCTGCAGTTTTTCAACAGGATAATGTGCTAATAAATATTGCAAAAATAACAAAAGAATAATTAAAAACAAATAAAATTATAATTATTAATTGGTTAGCAAATTTCTCAGATCTGAATCCAATAGAGAATATTTAAAAGTAATTAAAAAATAATATTCAAAGCTGTGAGGTCTTCCAAGAAATATAAATAAACTTAAAACTGCACTAAAGAAAGAATATAAAAATTTGGATTACTCCATTTTTGAAGAGGTTGTTGCCTCAATGTTATGAAGAATCAATACAGTACTAGAAGTAAAAGCAGGATCAACAAAATATTAACCATTGCAGAAATATTTTTATATATGCAGTTTTATAAAAATAAATAAAATTTTGCTTTAATTTTAAATTGGGCATCACTTTTCAACATGACTGTACATAATATAGAAATAGAATAAATATATATAATCACGTCAGAAAGTGATACCCAATTTTGAATAGTGTAACAATATACTTGATTTATATTATTCATA